TTGAATAGGAGTGGTGAGAGAGGGCATCCTTGTCCAGTGCCAGATTTCAAAGGGAATGCTTCCAGTTTTTACCCATTCAGTATGATATTGGCTGTGGGTTTGTCATAAATAGCTTTTATTATTTTAAGGTATGTTCCATTACTACCTAGTTTATTGAGAGTTCTTAGCATAAAGGGCTGTTGAATTTTGTTGAAGGCCTTCTCTGCATATATTGGGATAATCATGTGGTTTTTGTCTTTGGTTCTGTTTATGTGGTGGATTATGTATATAGATTTGCGTATGTTGAACCAGCCTTGCATCCCCAGGATGAAGCCTACTTGATTGTGATGGATAAGCCTTTTGAAGTGCTGTTGCATTCGGTTTGTCAGTATTTTATTGAATATTTTTGCATCTATGTTCATTGTAGATATTGGCCTGAAGTTTTCCTTTTTTGTTGAGTCTCTGCCGGGTTTTGGTATCAGGACGATGTTGGTCCCATAAAATGATTTGGGAAGGGCTCCCTCTTTTTGGATTGTTTGGAATAGTTTCAGAAAGAGTGGTATGAGCTCCTCTTGGTATGTCTGGTAGAATTTGGCTGTGAACCCATCTGGACCTGGACTTTTTTTGGTTGTTCAGCTATTAATTGCTGCCTCAACTTCAGCCCTGGTTATTGGTCTATTCAATGTTTCACCTTCCTGGTTTAGGCTTGAGAAGGTGCAAGTGTCTAGGAATTTATCCATTTCTTCCAGGTTTACTGGTTTATGTGCCTAGAGTTGTTTGTAGTAATCTCTGATGATAGTTTGTATTTCTGTGGAATCGGTGGTGGTATACTCTTTATCGTATCGTTTTTTATTGCATCTATTTTATTCTTCTTTCTTTTCTTTTTTATAAATCTGGCTAGGGGTCTGTCTATTTTGTTGATCTTTTCAAAAAACCAGCTCCTGGATTTATTGATTTTTTTTGAAGGGTTTTTTGTGTCTCTATAGCCTTCAGTTCTGCTCTGATCTTAGTTATTTCTTGTCTTCTGCTAGCTTTTGAGTTTTTTTAATCTTGCTCCTCTAGCTCTTTCCATTTTGATGATAGGGTGTCAATTTTAGAGCTTTCCTTGCTTCTCATGTGGGCATTTATTGCTATAAATTTCCCTCTAGACACTGCTTTAAATGTGTCCCAGAGATTCTGGTATGTTGTGTCTTCATTCTCGCTGGTTTCAAAGAACATCTTTATTTCTGCTTTCATTTCATTGTTTATCCAGTTGACATTCAGGAGCCTGTTGTTCAGTTTCCATGTAGTTGTGTGGTTCTGAGTTAGTTTCTTAATCCTGAGTTCTAATTTGATTGCACTGTGGTCTGAGAGACAGGTTGTTATGATTTCTGTTCTTTTGCATTTGCTGAGGAGTGATTTACTTCCAATGATGTGGTCAATTTTAGAGTAGGTGTGATGTGCTGCTGAGAAGAATGTATATTCTGTGGATTTGGAGTGGAGAGTTCTGTATGTCTGTTAGGTCTGCTTGGTCCAGATCTGAGTTCGAATCCTGGATATCCTTGTTAATTTTCTGCCTCGTTGATCTGTCTAATATTGACAGTGGAGTGTTACAGTCTCCCACTATTATTTTGTGGGAGTCTAAGTCTCTTTGTAGGTCATTAAGAACTTGCTTTATGTATCTGGGTGCTTCTGTATTGGGTGCATATATATTTAGGATCGTTAGCTCTTCATGTTTCATTAATCCTTTTACCTTGATGTAATGCCCTTCTTTGTCTCTTTTGATCTTTGTTGGTTTAAAGTCCATTTTATCAGAGACTAGGATTGTAACTCCTGCTTTGTTTTGGTCTCCATTTGCTTGGTAAATCTTTCTCCATCCCTTTATTTTGAGCCTATGTGTGTCCTCCAATGGGTCTTGACTTTTTATCCAATTCGCCACTCTGTGTCTTTGGATTGGGGCATTTAGCCCATTTACATTTAAGGTTGATATTGTTATGTGTGAATTTGATCCTGCCATTTTGATGCTAGTTGGTTGTTTTGCCCCTTAGTTAACACAGTTTCTTCATTGTCTCCATGGTCTTTACCATTTGGTATGTTTTTGGAATGGCTGGTACTGGTCGTTACTTTCCATGTTTAGTGCTTCTTTCAGGAGCTCTTGTAAGGCAGGTCTGGTGGTGACGAAATCTCTGAGCAATTGCTTGTCTGTATAGGATTTTATTTCTTCTTCACTATGAAGCTTAGTCTAGATATAAAATTCTAGGTTGAAAGTTATTTTCTTTAAGGATGTTGAATATTGGCCCCCACTCTCTTCTGGGTTGTAGGGTTTCTGCCAAGAGATCTGCTGTGAGTCTGATGAGCTTCCCTTTGTGAGTAACCTGACCTTTCTCTCTGGCTGCCCTTAGCAATTTTTCCTGCATTTCAACCCTGGTGTATCTGACGATTATGTGCCTTGCGGTTGCCCTACTTGAGGAATATCTTTGTGGTGTTCTCTATATTTCCTAGACTTGAAAGTTGGCCTGCCTTGCTAGGTTGGGGAAATTCTCCTGGATAATATCCTGAAGAGTGTTTTCCAGCCTGGATTCATTCTCTCTGTCACATTCAGGTACACCTATCAAATGTAGATGAGGTCTTTTCACATAATCCCATATTTCTTGGAGGCTTTGTTCATTTCTTTTCACTCTTTTTTCTCTAATCTTGCCTTCTCATTTTATTTTATTGAGTTGATCTTCAATCTCTGATATCCTTTCTTCTGCTTGGTAGATTTGGCTATTAAAACTTGTGTATGCTTCGCAAAGTTCTCATGCTGTGTTTTTCAGCTTCATCTAGTCATTTATATTCTTCTCTAAGCTGTTTATTCTAGTTAGCATTTTGTCTAACCTTCTTTCAAGGCTTTTATTTTCTTTGCATTGGGTTAGCACATGTTCTTTTAGCTCAGAGAAGTTTGTTATTACCCACCTTCTGAAGCCTGTTTATGTCAATTCATCAGACTCTTCTCCATCCAGCTTTGCTCCCTTGCTGGTGAGGAGTTGTGGTCCCTTGGAGGAGGACTGGTTTTTGGTATTTTCATTCTTTTTGTGCTGGTTTCTTCCCATCTTTGTGGATTTATCTTTTTGGTCTTTGTAGTTGGTGACTTTCAGCTGGGGTCTCTGAGTGGACATCCTTTTTGTTGATGTTGAAGCTATTGCTTTCTGTTTTTTAGTTTTCCTTCCAACAGTCAGGCCCCTCTGCTGCAGGACTGCTTGAGGTCCACTCCAGACCATGCTTGCCCGGGGATCACCCACAGGGGCTGCAGAACAGTAACAGCTGCTGCCAGTTTTTTCGTCTGTTATCTTTGTCCCAGAAGGGTACCTGCGAGTCAGCCTGAGCTCCTCTTTATGAGGTGTCTCTTTGGATATATGGGGGTTGGGGAGCTGCTTGGGGAGACAGTCTGTCCCTTATAGGAGCTCAAGTGCTGTGCTGGGAGCTCTGTTACTCTGTTTAGAGCTGCCGGGTCAGGTACGTTTAAGTCTGTTGCAGCAGAACTCATAACCACCTCTTTTCCCAGGTGCTCTGTCCTGGGAAAGTAGGGCTTTATTTATAAGTTCCTGATGTGCTGCTGCCTTTTTTCAGAGATGTCCTGCCCAGCAAGGAGGTAGTTTAGTCACAGTCTGCCAGCAGAGGAGTGGCTGAGCTGCTGTGGGCTCTGCCCAGCTGCTGTGTGAACTTCCTTGTAGTTTTGTTTACAGAGGTGTAGTTAGAACTACCTCAGTAATGGTGGACTGCCTCGGTAATGGTGGACTGCCTTGGTAATGGTGGATTGCCTTGATAGTGGCAGACTGCCTCAGTAGTGGTCGACTGCCTTGGTAATGGTGGGCACCCTTCCCCCCACCAAGCTGGACCATCCAGGTTCAGCTGAGCTTGCTGTGAAACTCTCAATCCAGAATGTTTCAGATTGCTGGTCTTTGTGGGGGTGGGACCCACCAAGCCAGATCACCTGGCTCCCTGTTTCAGCCCCCTCTTTTTTCGTTGAATGGGTGGCTCAGTGTCCCAGGCGTTCCAGGTGCCACTTGAAATGGCTGCCCAGATGTGTGTGAGTTTTTGTGTGGTAACCCGTAAGGCCAGCTGAAACAGCTATGCTGGAAACTCGTGGTGCTTTTCAGCCTGGGAATATCCTGGTCTGTGGGCAGGAAAACTCATTTGGAAATGCGGGATCACTCACCCTGTGTTGTTCTCACTGGGAACTGCACTCCAGAGCTGTTCCTATTTGGTCATCTTGGATCTCTCTCCTGCTTTTCCCTTTCTTTATTGTGTGTGTGTATATGTGTATATACACACACATGGAGTAAAGAAACTTTGTGTATATACATATACTATGTGTACCTATATACTCTCTATATATACAAACTGTATATACTACATATCATATACTGTATGACTGTATATATACACACTGTATATATACTTTATATATATGTATATCTATGTATACATATATACAGATGTACAGATATATACACATGTATATATACATATATGTATACACATACTATATATGGTATATCTGTGTATATACTATATAGTATAGTATAGTATATGGTATATCTGTGTATATGACCTCAAAAGATCCACCTGTCTTGGCTTCCAAAAGTGCTGGGATTAAAGGGGTGAGCCACCGTGCCTGTCTTTTAAAAAAATTATTTTCAGTAGAGACAAGGCTGTGTCTCTGTGTTGCCCAGGCTGGCCTCTTCTCTTCAGTCACATTCTCTATGGTGCCACAGACAGTCTCAGCAGGATAATATTCCAATTGCTCAGAGTAGTGACCTGTTTTGGAGCACACCCTCGGATTGGCTTTTCTGCTTCCCAGTTTCACTTTTTCCATTGTTCCCCTTCTGTTCCTTGTGATTGCTTTCCACTATAAACTACCTGCATCCTGTTCTTGTCTCAGGCTCTACTTATTGGAGGAACCAAGCCTAACACAGATTCCTGTGTAAAATGTGATGTAATGAATTAGCACTTGACAAGGACCCAGGAGGCCTGGGTTCCAGATCAACTCTGTTACTAACCTGATTTGTAAAAGTCACTTTATCTACTGAAAAGGTGGGCATTTTCATCATCATTTTCAGGTGGCACTATGGGAGAAGATCTTCAACCATTTGTTAACTGAGGGGAAAAAAGCAAGAAAAATGCTTGTGACACACATAAAAAGAGTATGTGTGCACACATATTAATAAATGCATACAAAATGGTGGACCATCACGGTTTACTACATATTTTTGTATAGCTTGAATTGTTTACAATCAGAATGTATATTAATTAGCTTTGTTTAGACCACTGGGAAAAAAAGAAGACTGCATCTTGTGTAATTAAAAAAAGAAAGAACGTCCACCTCCAAGGAAGTGGAATGATGCTTGTTAAAGTGCTGAGCAGAAGGCATAGCGGGCCACCAATCAAGGTAAGAAAGCCGAGCTATGCTCTCGTAAGCTCGCTAGGAGGCAGCGGAGCCGAGACCGAGGCCAGGCGGCGCAAGAAACCGCGAACCGAGGACGGGCGGCTGGGTCTTTTTGGTCGCCAGGGGGCAGAAGTATAGGGCAACCTAAATCTGCAACTAACCCGCGGTTGCCCAGGTTCCAACGCCAGGGCGAACATTTCAGAAGTCATAAGTTCCATCTCTCTGCCGCAGCCGAGACAGATTGGAGGATTTTCAGAGTCAAGATGATGCCCCCCCCCGCCCCCCGCTCCAGAGAAGCTTGGCACTCTAAGCAGTCTCAACCACTCTCCCCTCTGCTCTTCCCTTCCCTACCCCCCAACACCCATGGAGGGGAAATTGAGTCACTGGGAGGAGAGGCCAGAGTCATGAGGGGAATGAGGGCCGACGCCAGCCCCCAGGGCCTTCCAGATGCTAGGAGAAGGAGGGTTCTCCAGGAAAACAAAGGGGGGTGAGGGAGGAGGCAGCTGGCTGGGCAGGAGCTGAGCCAGACACATGGAGAAACGCTGCCCAGGATCAAAGGAAATATGACATTTGAAAAGAATGTGCGCGTCTGCATGTGCTGTGCCGGCGGGGAGGGGGGCCGGGGAGGGGCAGCGTCTGGGGAACAGGGGCTGGGCCTTGGGGTCTCTACCCTTGCCTTTCTCGCCTCTGCTTCCCACCTCCCCTGCCCTGTTCGGTGTAGGCAGGTTGATGGGTCGAGGTGTTCCTCGTCCATCCTTCCAGTGTGTTTCTCCTTCCTTTATTTCCGAGATGAAGCTGGAAGGGAAATGTAACCTGAGGAGACACACCAAAGAGGGGGGAAAAAAAGAAGAAAGAAAAAATCAAACTAGGCCGCCTCTCCGCTTAGCCTCGGAACATTCTTCTGTCCCCGCCGGCCTGGCCTCTTCTACCCGCCCCTCCGGTGTTGCGGCCCTGGGCTTGGAGCCGGGGCAGCTCCGCACGTCACTGGGGTCCCCCGAGGCTGGGGGGGTCCCCTGGGCGGGCCCGAGGGAGGACCGAAGGGAGGGGGGGAGCCGCCAGGGCGGCCCGTCGGGCCAGCCCTCCCTTTTTTCCCCTGTCCCGCAGAGCCTGTTTCTCATTAGAGTAACGGGCGCGGTCCCGCCCGGCTTCTGAGTGTTTGTAAACGTCTGACCCTGGGCCGTCGCTTAACCCTTCAGGTGCTGGGATGGGGCGGCGTTGGGGGGTGCAGCCCTGAACTTGAGGGATTTAGAGATTGGAGACGCTGCGGCCTCTTAGAGAGGTTTGAAGCTGTGTGGGAGGAAATGATAACCACCCCCCAATCCCTCCCACCCTCCAGCCTTGCCAGTATCTCCCACAGAGTCGCAAATCTCCCCTCTAATTCCCTCTCACACAACGAGGCCTCTCCAAGCCTGACTTTCCCGAAAACTCCCGTCCGGGTCTTTCTTCCTCCTCCAACCCAGGTGACAGGTGTCCAGCCTGGGGGAGGTGGGGAAAGGCGGGGGAGTGGGGGAACAGGGTCTCGAGGTTCCAGGCCCCTAATAAACCTGGCCAGGAGTTTTAGAAGAGCCGGAGTGGGATGCTATTGGGTCAGAGATTCATTCCAGACTACAGTTCTAGGGAGGAGAAAGCCAACTTCCCGTGGAGGCTAATTAATGGCCCCTCTGGGTGGCTGGGACAAGGGCAGCGGCAAAGCCTGGCCTGGATCTGCGCCCATCAAGGGCTGTGGGCCTAGGGACAGTTCTCAAAGCCTCTTTGGCTCAGACTGCTCCCAGAGGGCATCCAGGCTGGCTAAGCGTTCTTCACTTTACGGGTCCGGGAGGAATGGCTGATGGAGGCGCTGATTCGGCAGGGCAAAGACTTCCAGAAGGCCCAGGCAGAGCAGTTCCAGGCACGGGACCTGGAAGAATAGCCTTTTCCTCTTCCGAGCAGCCCGCCCGGTGCCACTCTGCACCCAAGGACCCTCCTGGCTTCAGGCTTGGAGGGAAAGGGGAGAAGTGGTTCCGTCTTGCTGGGTACTGTCTACACAGTCTTCAGAACTTAAAAAAAGGGTATTCCATGGGCGCTATACCCTGAGGGCCCAGGATGTGGCCCCTTTAAGGCTCTCGGACCCAGAACCAAGAACTGAGACTAAGGGAGGTGGGGGCTGGGCTCCCTGCGGAAAATGATTGTCACAAAGGCGGACCAATAGGCAACATTAGTATCACTCTTGAAGGACCTTTTTCCAATTCAGTTTTTTTTTTTTTTTTTGAGGGGGAGGGACTGAAGAGAGGACAGAGGGAGGGAGGGAGGGTGGGGGAGGACGAGGGGCGCGTGGTTTTCCCATCTCATCCCTGGAGGAGGGGCTGGAGCATCCCCGGCATCCAATCAGGGACAGGCTAGAGGCCCCGCTTTGAAGCAGTTTGGGGGAAAAAAGTTTGGAAAAGTTTCTATAATAACTAGGGGGCGTCTGGAGGGAGGCGGCTGCGACGGAGGAGGGGGCTTCTCACAGAAAGGGAGGGAGGGAGCCACCCTGGTGAAGATACAGCAGCCTCCTGACCTCCCCCCTCCCACCCAGGCCGGGACCTGGGGGCTCCTGCCGGATCCATGGGGGCGGCCAGCTGCGAGGATGAGGAGCTGGAGTTTAAGCTGGTGTTCGGGGAGGAAAAGGAGGCCCCCCCGCTGGGCGCGGGGGGGTTGGGGGAAGGTTAGTGCGGGGCTGGGAAGGGGTCTTGGGGTCAGTGAGAGGAGGGCCGGGGATCCTGGTCTGGGGGATTTAAGACAGCGAGCCTAGGGTGGGGGTTGAGGGAGTCAGAGGTCGAAGGGAGTCGCGGGTGCTCGCTGGCCTGCGGAAGTGAGGCTGGGGGCCGGGGCACCACTTTCTCCTTTTTAGGTCGTGACTGGGATGGGGGTGGGGGTGCCGTTGGCTGCGCGCCGCCTCCGGGCTGGGCCGCCTGTCACTGAACTGGGGGGCAGGCGGGAACGGCGGCCCCGAAAGCACCGGGCGCCGCCAGGGGAAGGGGAGGTTCGGCTTGGAGCTGGCCCCTCTCGGACCAAGCACTGGCGAGGCCGACTGGACGCCCGGGGCTGGGGGCGCTGTCAGGCCTCGCTGGGGCGCCCCTCCCCCTCCCTAGTCTGGCCGCAATGAGAGGCAGATGGCGGGGACTGAGTCGGGGGCGGCGGCTGCTGCTCGCACGAATCCGTGCTGCCCGCCGTCCCCCTTCCATCGGCTGGGCCGGGCACGCATCATCACCCCCTCGGCTGTACCTCCGCCCCCAGATGGCGGGGAGCGAGGGAGGAGCCGCTTCCCCTAGTCACCACAGCCCTGACGCCCCCCTCCCCTCCGGCCACGGTTGCGATGGCAACTGGGGCTCCTGCCAGCGCCGTTTGGGGGTTTGGGAACCGCTGCTAATTGGGTTCATGTGTGAGTCGCCCCCAGTCCAGCACAGTGCCTCAAGAAACACGCCTCCAGGCCCAGGCCCAGCTCCAGCTCCTCTGGACCCACCTCCCTCACCTTAAGACCCGCTGGATCGGGTACCCTCGGTCCCAGGATCCAAGAGTCAGTGGGCAAAGGCCTGGCATGCCTGCCTCAATCTCTTCCATCTTCCCAGGTCCAACTCTGCTTTTGCCTTTGTGGCTCAGAAGGTCTCCTTGCTGAGGGGCAGGGACATAGCAGGACTTGCAGCCTGGCCACTCAAGGAGCCTAGCCATCTCACCTGCTTCTCTCTCTCTCCCCCTCTCCCTCTGCTCCCCTTCCCATTTTGACAGAACTGGACTCAGAGGATGCCCCACCATGCTGCCGTCTGGCCTTGGGAGAGCCCCCTCCCTATGGCGCTGCACCTATCGGTATTCCCCGTCCTCCACCCCCTCGGCCTGGCATGCATTCGCCACCGCCGCGCCCAGCCCCCTCACCTGGCACCTGGGAGAGCCAGCCCGCCCGGTCGGTGAGGCTGGGAGGACCAGGAGGGGGTGCTGGGAGTGCTGGGGGTGGCCGTGTTCTCGAGTGCCCCAGCATCCGCATCACCTCCATCTCTCCCACGCCCGAGCCGCCCGCAGCGCTGGAGGACAACCCTGATGCCTGGGGGGACGGCTCTCCTAGAGATTACCCCCAACCAGAAGGCTTTGGGGGCTACCGAGAGGCAGGGGGCCAGGGTGGGGGGGCCTTCTTCAGCCCGAGCCCTGGCAGCAGCAGCCTGTCCTCGTGGAGCTTCTTCTCCGATGCCTCTGATGAGGCAGCCCTGTATGCGGCCTGTGACGAAGTGGAGTCTGAGCTAAATGAGGCGGCCTCCCGCTTTGGCTTGGGCTCCCCACTGCCCTCGCCCCGGGCCTCCCCTCGGCCATGGACCCCCGAAGATCCCTGGAGTCTGTATGGTCCAAGTCCCGGAGGCCGAGGGCCAGAGGATAGCTGGCTACTCCTCAGTGCTCCTGGGCCCACCCCAGCCTCTCCCCGGCCTGCCTCTCCATGTGGCAAGCGGCGCTATTCCAGCTCGGGAACCCCATCGTCGGCCTCCCCAGCTCTATCCCGCCGTGGCAGCCTGGGGGAAGAGGGATCTGAGCCACCTCCACCACCCCCATTGCCTCTGGCCCGGGACCCTGGCTCTCCTGGTCCCTTTGACTATGTGGGGGCCCCACCAGCTGAGAGCATCCCTCAGAAGACACGGCGAACTTCCAGCGAGCAGGCGGTGGCTCTGCCTCGGTCTGAGGAGCCTGCCCCATGCAATGGGAAGCTGCCCTTGGGAGCAGAGGAGTCTGTGGCTCTTCCAGGAGGTCCCCGGAAGGAGGTGGCTGGCATGGACTACCTGGCAGTGCCCTCCCCACTCGCGTGGTCCAAGGCCCGGATTGGGGGACACAGCCCTATCTTCAGGTGAGGGTTGCGCCTGGCACCACCCCTCTCTCCAGCATTCCACTAGGGGAGCAGGAGGGTCAAAGGATGGATTTGAAGATACTAGTTTCATGCCCTCTGAATTTCAAAAGAGAATCTGCCACCAGCTCAGTAGCTGCCAACTAGCTGCTTTTAAAGAGAATTAGAAAAAGAGCACACCCTTTGGATGATTTACAAAAGGGCAACAGTTCCCTGTGGGCAAATTAGAAAAAGTTCCTCCACCCACTGAACCCCAGGTATTGTAGGAGGATCAACTAGGTTAAGGAGTTCCTGCAGCCTATAGAGTGCTCCCAAGCCCGGGCTCTGTGTGGCATATGGCTGAGTGTGGAACTTGGGCTGGATTTCAGCCTTCTACTCTGGCTCTTTCAATAGGTGCCAGCCCTAAACAGATTTCCACTCTGTTGCAGGAAATTTCCCTTCTCCAATCCTTAATTTCTAGAGCCTGACCTAGTGGCTTAAAAGTATAGTTGCTAACTTGAATAAAATAGCATATTTTTGCAAGTCAAATAATTCATATTAAAACTTGCAGTTCTTCTATCCCTTCCATCCTCAGAGAATCCTGCCCATTTCAATAATCCTAAATCTTGAGATGTTAGCCTGAGCTGGCTCCATACAGAACTGTTTCTAGGGGAAAGGACCTTTAACACTGGTACCCCTGAGCTTCCCATAGGGCAAAGTTTCTCAACCTCAGCACTATTAATTCAGTACTACTGATATTTTGAGCAGGATAATTCTTTGTTGTGGGGGGCTGCAGTGGGCACTGCAGGATGGTTCAGCAGCATCCCTGGCCTCTACCTGTTAGATGCTAGTCGTACCCACTCCCCTAGTTGTGATAACCAAAAATGTCTTCAGACATTGCCAAATATCTGGACAATTACCTGGGGGACAACTACCAGTTGAGATCCTGGTATCAGGGAGCACAATACAGGATAAGTTGTCCCATCTGAAACCCTTAGCTCCCTGGAACTCCATCTATCAAGCCCCAACCACTGGAAAGGGAGCTGGCTTGGGAGCAGAATGTGCTCAGCCATAGGTCTGTCAGTGGCTGCTGGCTTCAGTTTGTTTATTTGTTTGCTTATGAGACAGCATCTTGCTCTGTCACCCAGACTGGAGTGCAGTGGTGTGATCTCACTCAGCCTCAACCTCCTGGGCTCAAGCTATCTTCCCGCCTCAGCCCCCTGAGTAGCTGGAACTACAGGAGCACCAACACGCCCAGCTAATTTTTGTAGAGATGGGGTTTCACCATGTTGCCCGGGCTGGTCTCAAACTCCTGGGCTCAAGTGATACTCACTCCTCCCCCCACCCCCACCTTAGCCTCCTAAAGTGCTGGGATTACAGGTGTGAGCCACCATGCCTCAATTTTTTTACTAGTTAAACAAAGGGTTCATATCCGAGGTCTTTTGTGGTCTGAAGTGGCACTTCTTTATTCTTTCCATCCAGGTCTAGGGATTAGGGCTTGAGAATCCTCTGTATCCACGTGAAGTCTTCTCACCCCAACCCCTGTGCTCAGAGCTGGGAAGAAGAGAGTTTTAGGCCTGTTGTCATCTTCCACACCTCAAGGGGCTGTGTCCCCTTTGCTTCTGGACTTTTGGATTTCTTCAGTTCTTTATATTTTTTTTAGTTAAAAAAAATTTTTTCCCCTTATTTTCACACATGTTGATGTACTTCTTTATTTCCTCTGTGCTTTCCTTTCTCACAGACCCATACCTGCTCCTCCCTCTCAGATTCAGCGTGGTCCTGACTGGGGCAGAGGCTGCACCTGATCAATACTCTTCTTTCTCTTCCAGGACCTCTGCCCTGCCCCCTCTGGACTGGCCTCTGCCCAGCCAATATGAGCAGCTGGAGCTGAGGATCGAGGTGCAGCCTAGAGCCCACCACCGGGCCCACTATGAGACAGAAGGCAGCCGTGGAGCTGTCAAAGCTGCCCCTGGTGGTCACCCTGTAGTCAAGGTAAGGACAGAGGGCAGGCCTGCTATCCTTTCTCCTCTCCCAGATGGGTTCCAGCTATGCAGACCCATGGCACTGCCCTTTCCCACACTCCCTCTCAGCTCTGACCCTGCAGGCAGCCTGGGGGAGGGGCTGGAGTTGGGGGAGGAGGGGTGCAAGGACCCGGATATGCTTTCTACTCCTCTGTCCTTCCACCCCCACTCAGCTCATCCCATGGGACACCATCCTCATGTCTACTCTGGAAAATAGTGGCCTGCCAGATATGGGGGAGGGTTTAGGCTGAGGCCAAAAGTCACTGGGAGTTAAGTTTTCTCTATATTGAGTTGGGCCAGTCTCTTTGGAGGCTCTTCTGCCTTTGCCCAGCCCACTTTGGGCTTTCTTCCAAGAAAAACACTGTGAATTCCAGGCCATGTTTTCTCCACAACGGGTGCCCAGTTCCCCCAGGGATTCCCTTGCAGGATATCCTTTATCTTTCACCATTCCCATCCCATGGAGGACTGAAAATCCAGGGATGAATAAAGGATGAGATGGTGGGGATTTCAATGAAGTGGCCCCTCTCTCCCTCTACCAGCTCCTAGGCTATAGTGAGAAGCCACTGACCCTACAGATGTTCATCGGCACTGCAGATGAAAGGAACCTGCGGCCTCATGCCTTCTATCAGGTGCACCGTATCACAGGCAAGATGGTGGCCACGGCCAGCTATGAAGCCGTAGTCAGTGGCACCAAGGTGCTGGAGATGACTTTGCTGCCTGAGAACAACATGGCGGCCAAGTAAGTCCCCATGCAACTTCCCCTCAGTCTGCAGGCTTTAGACTAGCTCTCTCCATTGGGCCTATGCTAGCCCATTTCTTCCTTCTCCCAGAAGAGCTAGACATCATTCCTAGGAGCTGGCTTCAGGCCTACCCACCAACTGGAAGAGGACTTTTGGGGATGGGGGGGTGCCCTGGAGAGGCCATCTCTGGGTTAGAAAATACCTCCTAGGCATACATCAAAAGTCATTCAGGGCTTTGGATGCAGAGGGGCAGCTTCCCTCTTTAGGGATGTATCATCATTCTGGCTTCAGCTAGGAGGGCTTGCCATCCATCCTTTGCCTTCAGCATTGACTGTGCGGGAATCCTGAAGCTTCGGAATTCAGACATTGAGCTTCGGAAGGGTGAGACGGACATCGGGCGCAAAAATACACGTGTGCGGCTGGTGTTCCGGGTACATGTGCCCCAGGGCGGCGGGAAGGTCATCTCAGTACAGGCAGCATCGGTGCCCATCGAGTGCTGTGAGCAAAGAGGCCCTGGGCCATCTCTCTGTCTCTTGCAACTCTTTTGTCTGTGTGTCTCTGCCCATTCCCCCTGCAGCATCCTGTGCCCTGTCTGCCCTGGGTAGCTCTATAGAGGACTCAGCCTTTATTTCTATTCTAGTTTGCCCCTGCCACAGACTGTCTCTGGGGTGGCCCAGAGTGACCCCGGACCCTATCTGTTCCTGGGGTGCCCGGTGCCCTTGTTTGGGAAACTCCCTGGTTTACCCTGTTTAACCCTCTCTCTATTCTGGGAGTGGCCCCTTACATGGTCTGTGTGACCCCATGGATACTACTGGTTTGTGTGTCTACTGCTGAGGAGAGGAGGGCTCCCTCCCTCAGAGCCTTGTGGCAGTTATTCCAAAAAGAGTGGGGACAGAGGAGGCTGCCCCTCCATGCCCAGCCCAGCCAGTCCTCTTCCTTGCACTGCTCTGCAGCCCAGCGCTCAGCCCAGGAGCTGCCCCAGGTGGAGGCCTACAGCCCCAGTGCCTGCTCTGTGAGAGGAGGCGAGGAACTAGTACTGACTGGCTCCAACTTCCTGCCAGACTCCAAGGTGGTGTTCATTGAGAGGGGTCCTGGTGAGTACCCACTGGGGAGGAGAGGGCAGGCAGATAAGCCTGAGACCAGCATGTGAAATATCTCTGGCACTGTCACTAAACTAGCCAGTGGAGCCTCGGATTTTTAATTTGTAAAATGGGACACAGACTACCCTTCCTATTATACTGTCTGCTTTCCATGTGGGATGAGTATGACAGCAATCTAAAATGTTGAGGATGCTGAACAAATGTAAGCAATACACATTCTGTTTATTAAAGAGGAGTCTGCTTTGAGATAATTTACCCCCATGTAGCTGGGGCATATGAGGAGAAGGCAAGAGGTGATTTACACCCTCACAGCTCCCCACTGGGTGGCTCCTTGAGTTATGGGCGGTGATTAAAAGAGCCTGCTAGGTGCCCCAAGATGGAGCTGCAGGCATGGAGGAAGGGAAGACAGGGTTCCAGCTGTGTGCACTAACCTGAGGCCTTTGCCCTCCTCAAACACTGCTCACCAACAGCCTCAGTCACTATATCCTTTATTATAATTATTATTATTTGTAGCAGGGTCTCACTTTGTGACCCAGTGGAATGCAGTGATGCAATCACAGCTCACTGCAGCCTCCACCTCCTGGGATCAAGCAATCCTCCCACCTCAACCTCCTGAGTAGCTGGGACCACAGGCACAGGCAACCACACTTGGCAGATTTTTTAAATTATTTTTTGTAGAGTTAGGGTCTCCTCATGTTGCCCAGGCTGGTCTCAAACTCCTGGGCTCAAATGATCCTTCTACCTTGGCCTCCCAAGGTGGGAGTGGTGGGTGCTGGGATTACAGGCATGAGCCACTGCATCCAGCCCCTATATCCAAATGCAGCATCCTAAGACCATGTCACAGCTTCTCCAGAGGTTCTGGGTCATGAGAGTTGGGGGTCTCATTGCCTTCTGTCAAGCTAGGACCCTTTTCTACCTTCGGTCTTCCTTCTCAGCATTATCATGGGAGACAATGTTTGGAGTTGGGTGGAAATATTCAATAGTTGCTTCCGTTACTAACTCGCTCTGGTTCCTGGGCTGGCCCTGCCATTTCCCTTGGTCTCAGTTTGCTTCCCTGTACCTTGAGGACAGTTTTAAACCCTACTTCTTCCACTCAAAGTTAACATGCAGTGAGCTCCTGTGTGTCAGACCATCTAGCGCTTCTTGATTTGGCCTTGGCTGTAGCAGGAGGGGAAATAGCAAAGAACTAGGGCAGGGGCAAGGGCGCTGGAGCTGGGCTGCAGCTCTCCGTTCCCTCCGCACAGATGGGAAGCTGCAATGGGAGGAGGAGGCCACGGTGAACCGACTGCAGAGCAATGAGGTACCAGTGTCACTAGGATACCTCTCGGGGGTAGGGTGGAAGAAGGCACAGGGGATTCTCAGCTGGGTCCTCTTGCTCATGGGAGTGGACTCTTCTGGAGTAGGTAGACTGGCCATTCTATAAGCAGGTGCATCTCTAGGAAATGAACTTTGCATCTTAGCAAACGGAGAAAGCTAGGAGCTGGAGTCTGGGCCCCTGGAAAGGCTGGGCTAAACCTAGGTCCCCAAGGGCTCCCTACCTCATTTTTACTCTTCCTTAGGTGACGCTGACCCTGACTGTCCCCGAGTACAGCAACAAAAGGGTGTCCCGGCCAGTCCAGGTCTACTTTTATGTCTCCAATGGGCGGAGGAAACGCAGTCCTACCCAGAGTTTCAAGTTTCTGCCTGGTGCGCTCTGGGACAGCCCATGGTGGGAGGTATAGGATATGAGGAGCTGAAGCAGGGGCAGAGGCAAGCAGTGCCCACTGTGAGGGGCCAAGGGGTGAATGGAACCTGGGAGGAGCAGGCGGCGGGAAGGTGTGCAGTGAGAAGACTGCCAGACCTCTCACCAGTGTGTCCTCCCACTTCCTGTCTTCCCAGTGATCTGCAAGGAGGAGCCCCTACCGGACTCATCTCTTCGGGGCTTCCCTCCAGCATCGGCACCCCCCTTTGGCACTGACATGGACTTCTCACCACCCAAGCCCCCTTACCCCTCCTATCCCCATGAAGACCCCGCTTATGAAACTCCTTACCTATCAGAAGGCTTCAGCTATGGCACGCCCCCTCTGTACCCCCAGACGGGGCCCCCACCATCCTACAGACCGGGCCTGCGGATGTTCCCTGAGACTAGGGGTACCACAGGTTGTGCCCACCCACCATCAGTCTCCTTCCTTCCCCGCCCCTTCCCTAGTGACCCGTATGGAGGGCGGGGCTCCTCTTTTCCCCTGGGGCTGCCATTCTCTCCTCCAGCCCCCTTTCGGCCTCCTCTCCCTGCATCCCCACCACTTGAAGGCCCCTTCCCTTCCCAGAGTGATGTGCATCCCCTACCTGCTGAGGGATACAATAAGGTAGGGCCAGGCTATGGCCCTGGGGAGGGGGCTCCGGAGCAGGAGAAATCCAGGGGTGGCTACAGCAGCGGCTTCCGAGACAGTGTCCCTATCCAGGGTATCACGCTGGAGGAAGGTGGGTGTGGGACTGGGGGCTGTGAGTGTGAGTGTGTGCAAGAGATTGCTCTGCATGTTTGCTGAGGGATGGAGCTGGGCTTTCAGAGATCAGGCATCCCTGGTCTCTCAGGGCCAGCTGGAGTGTCCCAGGAGGCATGTTCTTGATGCCTGTGGCCACCTGAATCCAGTTAACTGAATTCCGAAGGGTGCATGGGGTAACTGTCTTAGTTTTTCTCCTGCCTCTGCCTCTGCTCTCTGCCCTCTGCTCCAAATCAGAAAATCTCAGAGCTAGAAGCACTTTCAAGATCATTCCATCCAGCTCTCTCAATTTGCAAGTTCAGGCACTGAGTTCCAGAGAGGGATGGTAGCTTGCTGAGGTCCCAGTCAAGCACACTTCCTACTGGCTCAGCGTTCCCCTAAACACGGTGCCTCTGGTCAGGGTTGGTGAGGAGGAGCTTTCCTGTTTTGCCTCCTTCCTCCCATTGGCTACACCCATCTCCGGCCCTGCTGATACCAATTCCCCTGACATTTTGGGCAAAGCCAGCAGGAAAGGGATAGGACGGGCACCTGGTAGCCCAGATGGAGGGAGTTGGGGAAGATTTGATTCGGAGCAGGTGTCGAGACACATTGGGGAAACTGAGGCCCAGTAGAAGAGAAGCCAGTAAAGGAGGAACCTAGAGGCCTCCTAGATTAAGGCCTGCCTGGAATGGATTGGGGGTCTTTAAAAAAGGAGGGGACCCACCTCTAGCCCAGTCTCTCAAGTGCCCCTCCTTTACAGTGAGTGAGATCATTGGCCGAGACCTGAGTGGCTTCCCTGCACCTCCTGGAGAAGAGCCTCCCGCCTGAACCACCTGAACTGTCATCACCTGGCAACCCCAGCCCCGGCCTCAGCCCTGCCCCCTTCCCTCCTTCCTGGAGTGTGGCTACAGAAGCTTGGGGCCAACGCTGGCTCCTCTTTCGCCAGCTTCTGCCTGTTTCGCTGTCCTCCCTCCCCTCCCCCAGCTGTGGTGAGGCCCCCAGACCTGGTGCTGCCTTGGAGGGCTGGGGGAAGGAGCGTGGAGGAGGGGAGGAGAGTGGAGACTGAGGCTAGGTGCCAGAATGGACTGGAGCTAAGGCGTGTCTAGAGTGTGGGCAAACTGGTGCTGGGAAGCTGGGGACAGCTTGATGGTAATAAACTGCTCACTGATAAGTGCTTCAGGCTCCAGAGCTCTTTGGAGACAGGGGTAGAGGCAGCTTACTCCAGCCCTGGCCCAAAGACACCCAGAAGTTGGAAAGAGATGGAGTGTGGCTGGGAACATTGCACCCCAAAGAGTTTCTCAGTGGAGTGGGGAAGGCATGAGGGGGCTCAGAAGCTCCTTAACTGGGGCCAGGGTTGGGGGCTAGGACTTGAGTAGGCCTCTCCACTTGCCTCTCTGGGGGTCCAGATTCCTTAGGAGCTTTGGGATGGGGGCCAGAAGACTGCATTTTTTCAAGCTGCTTAGTCTTGCCACCACACAGATGATTCTGATTCATAGCAAGATGAGGACACACTGATGTAGCTGATCTCTCTTATTTACAAAGGAGGATTCTAAGGTTCAGAGAGGGAGCAGGACTTGCCTGATAGGACTTGCCTATCTTGTCACATAGATAATCAGCAGCATGTTGAATGCTGTGCTCCTGGGCTCCTGTTCCCCACCCCCCATTCAGACACCCTGACTCAGGAGGCCCAGGCCTCTAAGGCTTCTCTCCCTGGAGTGAGGGTTGAGGCAAGGGAGAGCTGGCACAAGCCTGTTCACACTCTGGATCCTCCACTCCTGGGGATTATGAAGACATTCTGGAAAGATTTGTGCTTCAGAGGTAGACTGCAGAAAATAGTCTACCCAGCAGCTCTGAATGCCACCTGTCCTGGGGCTCAGGGCACTGCATGAGTTCCTGGCCTATCCTGCAAATACACCCATGCTGGCCTTCTAAATAGCGGGTACATCCATCACCACTGATGGGCCTGGGCTGGAAACCTGGTTTGTCCTCTGTCTTGATGACCGATGAGAGGCCAAGTCCCCATTGGGCTGGGGAAAGTCAGACTTTGTCTGTCTTGTTCACCTGGAGCCTGGCACACAGTAGGTACTGAGTATAAATAGCTTGAATTGGCTAGGCTTGGCTTCAGGGGGACATGCCTAAAAGACACTCAGGGAATTTGCACTTGGGAAACTTGCCTCACCTTGAGGCTGGTGGGGCCTCTCTATGCCCAGTGAGTCCAGACAGTCCTGGCAAGTACTCAGGAGAGCAGGGATGGGTGTGACAGTGGCTGGCTCTGGATTGGAGGACAACAGAACCAGAGTGACTCCTCGCCTGTTGCTGCTTTGCAGTTAATTTCCTTTACCTTCCTGGAACACAAACAGTCATCAAGTGATCAACTCACTGGGCTTTGGCTGCTTTTCAAAGATCCCCTTCAGCCCCCATGCCAGAGTCATTGGCCCGTAATCACCATGTCAGAAGAGACCCTAGGCACTTGTGTCCTATTCAGTACCACCTCTAAGATCTCTGACAGGGTGAGTCAGCCTCTGTGTAAACAAAAAGCTGTTAGGACTTGTTGCCTCTCAAGGTGGACTGTTCTGTTTTCTGCCAGGACATCGCCATTCATGCATTGTCAGACATTTATTGAGCAGCTACAAAGTGCCAGCCAATGGGTCCTGGAGGAATTCATAGCCTCATGGGGCAAAAGTAAAGAAACATCTCATTACAATTCAACAATTCAAACTCAGTATTTTTTGTACAGAGAGTATGTTAGACCTTGAGGAGTCAGTGAAGAATGTGTGTGTGTGTGTGTGTGTGTGTGTGTGTGAGAGAGAGAGAGAGAGAGAGAAACAGAGGGAGATGGGGTCTTGCTCTAGTGTCCAGGCTGGAGTGTAGTGGCAGGATCATAGCTCACTGCAGCCTCAAATTGCTGGGCTCAAACTATCCTCCTGTATCAACCTCCCAAAGTGCTGGGATTATAGGCATGAACCACGGTGCCTGCCTTTAGTGAACAACTTTTTTCTTCCCCTGTGTGCTCCTTTGCCCACCACCCTACTCCCAGGTAGTGGATTCCCCACCAAGCCACACCACCCCATGCCACTCCTCTCCACAGTGAACAATTTAAATATGATATGCAGATGGAGCAGAAGAGAGGCATTCTGTCCAGCTCTGGGGGTTAGAGGGAACTTCAGCGGATGACTTCTAAACAGACCTGAAGAATGACTACACAAAAAGGTGCCAGGAGGCTGGCCCTCATCAGGATTCCAATGAGAAGAGGGGGTAGGCCTGAACAGTGTGGGCCCAGAGGGCCCCTCTAACCAAGTTAAGAGTAGAGGAAGAGCAGGCCAGGCAGAATGACCAGGAGAGGCAAAGTCCTGGAGAGAGCATCCAGTAAGGAAGGCTGACCGATCTCTAGGGCCTGGTATGCCTGGAGAACGCAGAAAGGTTCGGCTTCGAGGGTGGGAAGGCAGATGAAGTTCTGGAAGTGGCAGGGCTCTAAGAAGGCAGAGGGAAGCAGAGGCTGAATTCTGAAGGGCCTTATGGCCTTCCAGGCATTTAGAGTTTTCCAGGTATGATGGGCACTCTCCCATTAGACTGTAGGCTTTCAGCTATAGACCACAAAGTTCTTCCTCACATTGAGCTCACATTCCTTGTGCCTGCTCTGCAAGGGGCTGGTTATGCCCTCTGGGCCCACACTGTTCAGGCCTACCCCCTCTTCTCATTGGAATCCTGATGGGGGCCAGCATCCTGGCACCTTTTTGTGTAGTCATTCTGAGACTCTAGGGCCACTGTCTCCTCCCAGACTCCCTACAGACATCTAGCTTCCTGAGGCTGCAGTTAGGAAAGAGAAGAGGCTGAGTCTCCAGGTGGTGGTAGAAAAGACCTCTTGGCCCAGGTCTGAGGATTACTTGTGTTTGAATCACTATGAGGTTTTGTTTTGTTGTTAATACGGATTCCTAGGCAACACTTAACCTACTAGGGAGCAAGGGCTGGACCAGGTATCTGCATATTAGAGTGCCTCGGGTGATTCTTCAGCACAGGAAAGTTCAAGTACTAGAGTTGCTGCCAATTGTCATTCTTTCCTATTCCAGACTCCAAAATAGCCCACTGCATGCCCTCTAAATCTTGTCAAGGCTGTCCTGGGTAGAGAGTCATCTGGTGAAGAGGAGGAGATGGGACACAGAGTCCTCCCATTGCAGTTCACCCTTCCCCTTACCTGGCTCTGACCTGCTAGCTAGAGAATCTGAGGATGGTTTCAGGCACAGCCTGGAGCCCCGGTACAGGAGCATCTGCCCTTGGAACTTCCTGAGTCTTCTTCTTTGGCTGGAACTGTGCGCCTCCACGATGCTTGGGGAGTGACATGTGCAGCTTTCCATTGGGGTTTGGACTCTGCTTGGATTGAATTCTGTGATGCCTTGGAACCCACTGCTGGACTTTCTAAATTGTCATGGAGAGGAATTCCTGGAAATATACAGAGAGTGCACAGGAGGTTGGCTGCTTTTTTGGGTCCCTGTTTTAATGGCCTCAGTATCTTGATGGTTCTCATAGCCAATTCCCCACAAAGTGCTGCAGGGCCCCTGCTCTGTGCCAAGCCCTTTGCTAGGCTCCAGGGACATGCATTTCACTATGGCCTTGACCTGGAGGAGCTGACAATCCCATCACTAATGAGAGAGACCTTCCTGCCTAGAGATTTAGGTGAATAGAGCAATGGTCCCAGGGGCTTTGGGATGTCAGAGAAAGGGCACTGAATCTGTCCTCTCTTGCTGCTTGTGTATCTCTTGTAGTAAGAGTAGGCAATTACGTTTTGAGATAACCTGTGAGTCCATCCCTTATGGTGGGAACATGACATTCTCTGAAAGGAACAGATGTTCCCAGTGTCTGTTCTACTGGAATAAAGAGTGTCTGGGGTCCGGAAATGTGGATTTGTTACTGAGGCTTTGTGTAGAGTTACAGGAAGCATCTCTCTGTACTTCTCACTCTTGGACCTGAACCCTGAGGGCACTAGTTAGGCCAGGCTGTGCCCAAGCAGCTCCTACCATGGTGAGGCAGAATCCTGGCAGGGCTGGGAGCCAAGGGCCAAGGGGCAAGGAGGCAGCTCCATTGCTGGGTGGCGCTCCACTTCCATGCTCCCCTGAGCAATTCCTTTCAGTTCTTCCTGGATGTCTTACTTTCCTAGGGCTGCTGAACCAAAGCACCACAAACTGGGTGGCTTAAAACAACAGAAATGTATTGTCTCACAGTTCAAACGGGTTGGCCGACTGCAATGGAGTTGTTGGCAGGGTTGGTATCTTCTGCAGGCCCTGAGGGAGAATCCATTCCGCGCCTGTCTCTTAGCTTCTGATAGTTGTTGGCTTTCACGCTCCTTGGCTTGTCGAAGCATCACTCCAGTCTCGGCCTCTGTTGTCACAGTGGCTGCTCCCTATGGCTCCTCTGTGATTCTGTGTCTAAATCCACCTCCTTTCTCTTATAAAATACACTGATCATTGGATTTAGGGCCTGCCCTAATCCACCATGACCTCATCTTAACTTGAATACATCTAGAAAGATCCTGTTTTTATTTATTTATTTGTTTATTTATTTTTATTGAGACGGAGTTTTGCTCTTGTTACCCAGGCTGGAGTGCAATGGCGCAACCTCGGCTCACCACAAGCTCCGCCTCCTGGGTTCAGGCCATTCTCCCGCCTCAGCCTCCCGAGTAGCTGGGATTACAGGCACGCGCCACCATGCCCAGCTAACTTTTTGTATTTTCAGTAGAGACGGGGTTTCACCATGTTGACCAGGATGGTCTCGATCTCTTGACCTCATGATCCACCCACCTCGGCCTTCCAAAGTGCTGGGATTACAGGCGTGAGCCACCGTGCCCGGCCTAGATCCTGTTTTTAAATAGTGTCACATTTACAGGTACTGGAGTTTAGGACTTGAACATATCTCTTTTGGGGACCCAATTCCCATACACTGGGGTTCCTACAAAGTTTTGTCAATCACTATGATCTCAGTTTTGCTATGGAAGGTTAAGTAAAAGTGCCTGTGTTTGGATCTAAGTGGTGAAGAGGAGAACATTGTCTTCTGATGCCGGCTTGGTGGATGCAGCCACAATTCATGGGATTCCCAGGGGAAAGGTGACTTTTGAAAGAGGGAAGAGTAGGAATTTCAGGCCCAAATCCTCAAGCGATTTTTCCTGTCTTGCTGCCCTTAGAC